TTAACTCGAAAAGTACTTAACGAAAAAATACTTAAGTATAGTGTTTTGGAAAGCTCTCGAGATAAGCTACAAGAATATACAATAAAAAATGGGGGTATCCATTTAAAAACATCATTGTGACCTTGACCTGATCTTTATGACGCAACTCAAGGTCAAACTGCTAATATCATAAAATAGATCTTTTTAAACCCTACAACTTTTGTATTTAACATTTTTTTATACAACGCTTTGTTTTCGAGATATTCAGGTGTTCCGGTACATAATATTCACCCTATATATATATATATATATATATATATATATATATATATAAATTGTAATAAATAAATACTTTTTCGTTATTATATAATAAATATATTGTTCTTATTAGGTACCAATTAATTAAAAATGAAAAAAGAAATGCCAATAAAACATTGTTTTTTTCACTTCATATATTGCTTTCACACCCACACATACATATATACATATATGTGTTATCTGGAAATAATAAACTTATTTTTATTATTCTGTTTCTACTTATATGTTTCTACTTATATGATAGACAAAATATTATCATACATATATAGAAAATCATACATGATCCTCTATGTCCCGTGCTTGGGGTACAGAGAACCATTTTTCTTTCCAACAATTTTAATGTTTAAAATAAAATCTCTTGCAGTTATTAAACTAACGCCTTGTCTGCGTATGTATAACCTTTGTAGGTATATGCTGAGCAACTTTGGGCCATTTCCTATAACTGGTAAATTTTTCATTAACCTTAGAATGTTAAGTGGTCCTCTGTGCACCGCTCTCCCCTACTCTACTGAGTGAAATTAATTTTTGTCACAAATCTTACGATGACCATCGTAAAATAAAATAAAAAAAGATTTCAAATATGATAATGTTTCGCAATATCATGCTCATTTAAAATTAAAATGTATAAATAATTTTAATATGTCTCAACTTCCCGAAAAAAAATCGTACAAATTCGTTTTTTTTTTAAATTGCAAGAGAAAATCTATACTTGACGATGATCATCATGAAATTTACGAAAAAATTTTGTCCACCCCGTAGGATACATGAAATTATGCAATTTTTTGGAAATGCGAAACATATTTACTTTTGAAAATACTGCGGAATGGGAAGAGAATAAATGTAGGATTGTTCCTAGCTATAAGGGTCGATCCCATGAGTACGCAAGAATTGATCTCGCGATCGATCTTCGGCGGAAGGAACAGGGCAAGAAAACGGAGACGTGAACACTATCATACGAGTTTATTTAACGAAAGACAATCGTGTCTAACAAAAAGCTCTCGACGCCTCTAGCTCTTGATTGAGACTGCCTTTCCCCCCAATTCTCTCTCATAGTCGCTCGCACGGCCCTCTCTTGCCTCTCGGTAGTACCTCCCGGTCCTAAGCTAGGGAACGCGATTCCTACATTCGGCCATCCCTGCTTTCCCTTCGGTCCCCGTAAGGATATTTGGCATAGAGCTTCATATAGTCGGCGGCTGATGTTGTAATCTCCGGCCCTTCGTCTCCACCGATTTTAGTTACCTCATAGCGGTCGTTACCTTTTACAAGAGATACTCGGTAAGGCCCTAAATATTTTCGCTTTATCTTCGAACCTGGGGCGAACTGAGTACGCCGGATCGCTACCAAGTCTCTCTTCCTATACACAACAGCTTTTTTTCGCCGCTTATTATAATAACGCTTGTTTTCGGTTTGAACTTTTAAAATATTTTGCTTCGCTGCGTTTCGCAGTCGATCACGTTCCTTATTAAAGGACTGAACATATTCTTGTTCTATTAAGAAACATATTTGTACTTCTTCGCGGTGCTTCATTTTTACCGAAGAGGGCTTCAAATGGGCTCATACCCACGCTTCTCTGATAAGTGCTATTGATACATAGTTGCAGCTTGGCTACCTGTCGGTACCACTGACTGGGGTTATCTAAAGACATTTTCGTTAATACAGCGATAATGATCCTATTGATGCGCTCTACTTGGCCATTACCGCGTGGCATACCGGTAGTTATGGAGATGTGTTCAATATTTTCTTCGGTACAATAGTCCCTAAAACTAGAGGATGTAAACGCTGCTCCCTTATCGGTTATGACGCGTTGCGGGCTACCGAAAACCGGCTGCATCTTAAATAACTTATCTATCACCTCCTTAGCGTTCGTAGTCTTAGTGGAGTAGATCCACACGAATTTCGAAAACCCGTCCACCATCACCAATAGATACTTGTATGACTTCGAGGTGCTGATCATGGGCCCTAAATGATCGAGGTGGTACGTACTTAAAGGTGTGTCGCCTTTAGAGATCGGCTTCAACTCGCCCTCTTGTTTGCCTTTCTTTTTCTCAATCAATATACACGGAATACAGCATTCGATAAAATCTTCCACCTTTTCTTTCAATTGCGGAATATAATACTCGCTTTGGATAATCTCTACTACCTTTTTAACACCAAAATGCCCGTTTTCGTGTGCTTTCCGGATAATGTCGTGGTGCACGTTTGAAGGTAGAACGACAACGACCTTGTTATCCATTTTTTTCATTAATACTCCATTTTCTATCACGTAGTCTTCATACGGTTTCTTAACCAATAAATGTTTAATGACGCGTAGTCGTTCTTCCTTATCCTGTTCGCTTCGGATCATCGCTAAAACCGTATCTTCGACCATCATGACGGGGAATCTGCTGAGCGCGTCTACGTGCCTCATACGCTCCTCGGCGCGATGTTCGATTTCATATTCGAACTCTTCGAGGGCTAGCGCCCATTTGGCGATCTTAGGTGGTAGATTATCCTTACGCAGCGTCCTCTGGAACGCTTGACAATCGGTCACGATCTTAAATCTGATGCCGAACAAGTAAACGCGAAACTTTTGTACCGCTCGGATTATCGCCAAGATCTCGAGTTCGTAGGAGCACCATTTCTTTTCGGACTCTGTCGTTTTACAACTCATATAATAAACAGGATGAAAATCCCTTTCGCAGGCTTTTCTTTGGAGAAGTGCCGCCCCATAATCTTGCTTACTGGCATCTGTATGTAGCTCCGTAATTGCCGATGGGTCAAATATTCTGAGAACTGGATCTTTCGACAACACGTCCTTTAACCTATTAAACGCTAAACATTCAGTCGCCCCGAAACTGAAGTGGTGCCCCTCCTTCATCTCATACAATGGGTACGCTATTTTCGAATAGTCTTTATCAAACTTCCGGAAATATCCCGTGAGTCCTAAGAAACTCTGTAGCTGTCTCAGCGATTTCGGCTCGGGAAAATTCTGAACGGCCCGAATTTTGATCGGTGAAGGTCTGACGCAGCCGTCCTCGATAACGTGACTTAAAAATTCAACTCGTCTTTGCAAAAACTTACATTTTTTTCCAATTGATACTAAGACCGTTGGCCGCTGCGACGGCTAAAGTCTCTGCTAGATTTCGAAACACATCTTCTTCATCGAGGCCTGGAATAATTAAATCGTCCATATATGTAAAAACTATCGCCTTTTGAATTAGAGGTTGGAATACTTCATTGATGAATCTCAAAAAGCTAGTCGGACTGTTGCATAGTCCAAAAGGTGTCTTCGTGAACTCATATTGGCCACTCGGCGTGACAAAAGCAGTATACTTTCGGCTTCCTTCTTCCACCGGCACGTGGAAAAATCCGTTCCTTAGATCTATTACTGAAAACACTCGAAAGTTCACAAGCGCGTCTATCTTATCTTCTACTAACAGCATCGGGTACTTATCACGAATAATTTTTCTATTTAATAATCGGTAGTCTACGCACACTCGACTCGAACCGTCCTTTTTACGCACGATAACCGCGGGACTAGCGTATTCGTTCTTACTTGGTCTAATAATGTCCTCGTCCAACCACTCACGTATTTGATCGTTCAAAATGTCTCTCTCCTTCAAGGCGAGTCTGCGAGGGCAAAGGTTGACCGGTATCTCGTCCTTCAAGATGATTTTGGTTTCTATCGACGTCGTCACGGCCTTCTGCGGAGTGTATTCCCCAACTAGTGTTTCAACTCGGCTTCTCTAAGGTTCTGTAAGGTGACTTCGATTTCATCGATGGCGGTGCAGTCCATAACTGCCAAATCCTCGAACAGCGTCCCGTCCGATTGACTTCCGTCGACAACTGACACTTCTTGAACCCCGACGGCGCTTCCCTTGGCCGCCGATCTCTTAACGTTTATACGCCCCTTCCGTATGGTAACTTCGACTTCTTTGAGGAAATTACGCCCCAGGATTAGTTCTACGACCGTGGCTTCCGTAAGAACTACGTATACTTCGACTACGTAGGCGTCGCCCTCGATCGACATCTTCAGGAAGAAAGTATCGCTTGGTCTCGTGACCGTGTTTCCTAATCAGATAAAAATTTGCGTTGTGCAGCTCAATTTGGGTCTACTTATTTTCTCGTACACGTCGTTCCGCATCAAACTGACGTCACTTCCCGTATCGACTAGAGTACGACATTTCAGCCCTGCAATGTCAACAAGGATAAATTTGTCGTCGACGCTACTTACGCAGTTCACCGTAGACACCTGCGTCTCTGGCTGTCTCACTTGGGGGTATTTAGATGCGACATGCCTGTAATTGTTGCATTTGAAGCACTTAGGTCCCTTGTCGGCGTTGGTACAACTTTTGACATCATGTTCGATGGAACCACAATTGAAGCAGTGCTTCTTGGGCTGCGTATTGTCCGACTTTGTTCGCGTATTTTTAAAATTGTCCCTTGCGTTGTCTCTAACGCGGTCTTTCTTCGTGGTCGTCTTCTTTTGCTGTGTCTTTTCCTTAATGTGATCGTATACTTCGAGACATTTCTTCAATTCACGTAATGTCCCGGCGCCATACAGCATCGTCTTGTTGCACTCGTCATCTTGTATCCCGTCTATTATATATTGAATCAAAGCGTCTTCTTCAACATAACCTTACTCGGCTATTCCTTGCATCGCGTAAATATATTGCCTGCTGCTTTCATTTGGCTGTCGTTTCCGCTTGTACAACTGACTATGCACCGTGGCGCTATTTAACTTAACCTTAAATTCTCTCCTTAGTCGGTGTTTCAGGACACTCCATGAGGTAATGCCTTTTTCAAAGGACAGGAATTGCTTTGCCGATCCTCTCAACATGCGCTTGCTGTACACTAACTTTTGCAGGTCGCTCCATTCGAGCAAAGTGCCCATGTTTTCAAACTCGGCGATCCAATTGTCGATGGGTAACTTATCATCGCCCGAAAAGTACGACAGACTGCCCTCTACGTCCTGGATCGTGAAGCTGCGCTGTTGGGGACTAGTCCGATTTCGTACCTCGTCTATCCGCTCGATGGGGGCATCTATGCCCAAGGGGAGCGGTGCACTTGGACACGGTGCATTTGAACACAGCCAATCACAGCACCGGATGATTAGAGACATTTGTAGGGGCCCTTGGAACAACGACTTGTGATTGGACTGTGTCCAATTGCCCCGTGTCCAACTGATATACATCCATGCCCAAGACTCCGCCGTCATTGTAGTGGCTCACCCTAGAGGACGATCGCGCTTTCTCACGTTTCACTGGCTGGCGCTGCTCCTCCGTGGCGTCCGATTCGTCGCGGTCACTCTGCCGCTTCCTGTTGGTGGACCTCTTCTTCTGCACGCCTTGTTTCCCTAGGGCGATTCGTCTTTCTTGTTCGCTTCGATCCTCCTCATCACTCGCCGCTCCGTCGTCTGTTGCTTCCTCGTCGCTCGTCACTTCCTCGTCGCTCGTAACCTCCTCGTCGCTCGTAACTTCCTCGTCGTCGCCGGCATTGCAGTCCGCTTCTATGCCGGCAAGGCGTTTCCGGTCATGAGCGCTCTGTAATCTCATCTTCAATTGAGTCTTATTACCCGTAGTCCACAGATTGAGCGCGCGCAATGCATCTTTTAATTCGGTGATTTTCATCTCATCGACGGTTCGCTCGGCCGCTTTCCTCGGCCCTTTTCGCGTCTTATACGACGTCTGCGGTTTAGCTGTCGCGCCATCTTGCACTTCGACATCTTAGTCGCCGACACGGTCGTCCTGCGCACGAACTTCGGCCATCTTGGTAACTTCTGTTTTCCAACTTACAACGTTTTATCCGCTGCTCGACTTTTCTCCTTTGTCTTGCGCGGAATTAGTGCCAGATCGAGCTTTTGTATCGCGGCACCACTGATCAGTCACGTCGCTACTTTTTCCACGTCGCCTCGCGATGTCTGCACTGATTCGCCGATCACGGCTGAGCCCCCAACTGTAGGATTGTCCCTAGCTATAAGGGTCGATCCCACGAGTACGCAAGAATTGATCTCGCGATCGATCTTCGGCGGAAGGAACAGGGCAAGAAAACGGAGACGTGAACACTATCGTACGAGTTTACTTAACAAAAGACAATCGTGTCTAACAAAAAGCTCTCGACGCCTCTAGCTCTTAATTGAGACTGCCTTTCCCCCCAATTCTCTCTCATGGTCGCTCGCACGGCCCTCTCTTGCCGCTCGGTAGTACCTCCCGGCCCTGAGCTAGGGAACGCGATTCCTACATAAATTACAGACTTCACTCTTTAAAATAAAAAAAGGGATTCCAAATACGATAATGTTTCGCGGTATTATATTCATTTAAAATTGTATAAAATTTCGACATGAACTTCTATTCCATGATTCTATTGACGAGTGTATAATAGTTGTGAGCATATAATTGTTTGCTTATCACATCAAGTAACATCTATTAATAAAATTGTGCCTTCAACCTTTGTGGGTAAATATACATAAAATGATATTTTAACCTAAAAACTTGTTACTCGTCAGTTAAACAATTTTGCAGGCAAGACAATCGAGATAGTACAGAGGATTCAAAAAGAATTCAGTTGTATGTTATATTCTGAGCTCATTTTTAGATGCAAACAGAATTCTTTTTACTGAACTGAACTTTGAACAATTCTTTTTGCATCTGAAAATGAACTCAGAATTGGTGACGTATTTATAATATACAATAACATTTTTTGATTTTTTTGTAATTCTCTGTGCTATTTGGGAGAACACGAAGAAAAAGAGCAAAATAGAACACTAAATGACTTGTTTAACCTTAAGATGAAATTTATTCAAAGTTTATTAAGAATTTATTCAAATTTATTCAAATTTAATTGACAAATAAAATAAATAGCTAGGAAAAAAATGTGAATATATAATTGTATTAAATTATAATCATTTATAATTACATATGATTCATATTTGAAATTTATTTATACCCAGAGTAACGTCAAATAATTTTTAATAATTTTTTAATAATGTCTTTATCATTAGTAAGACGTTTTTAAATGTCAATTTGCTACCTAAATATATGGCTTGCCAAGACTGTGATAAGCAAAAATATTCTTAGGTTACATTATACTTCTTGGCATATTGTATAGACAACACAAAAAGGCAGTTATGCGAAGAAATTAAGTCGTTTCCAGAACGTATTCTCCAAAAAAATAGAAAAGACTACTGTGCAAGAATAAATAATATGCTAAGAAGATGGACACAAAATTATATGGTATGACTAAAAAATCTTTGCAAATATCAGCATTTAAATTAGCTGGAAAAAACAGTATTGAGCATCTATTAATTTTTGTTAGTACTATTTATTGCTTTTTAGGTACGTATTTAAGTATCAATAAAAATATGATCTTTTTTATATTACAATCAATTATAAGACTTTTATTTCCATCTTTCCCGCAGCTTTTGGACAAGTCAAAAATTGATACCACTTTTCTTTTGTTATTTTTCCATAAGAAAATGTAAGAAATATATTTTTTCCTGTACTAACTTTTAAGAAAATAGTCTAAACTATATGCCATCGTTTTTGAAAAATAATTTTATTTTAACCATGTTTATATAGAAAAAGAAACAAAACTATGCGATTTAATAATTTTTAATTAGTAATCATGTTAGTAGCACTCGGTCCTATTTTTCATTTAAGTGGAAAATACGACCAATATATGCGAATATGTATGAGTATTTTTTAGCAGATTGCTCGTTTTTAATACTTTTTTTTCAGTTAGTGAGTGACATCATGTAAATACGTTTCTCTTTTACTCAGTTTCGTTTTAATACAGATCTACACTGAAACGAAAGTAAATAAAAGAGAAACGTATTAACGCACTTTCACCAGTTGAAAAAAAAGTGTTAAAAAGGAGGAATCTGCTCAAAAATACTCATGCATACTCGCATATACTCGTTATAATTTTTCACTGGATACACTGCATGTGCTTCAGAGTGCAAGAAACGACCATAAAAATTAAGAAATGGGTAGAAAATGGGCTAAAAACGAGTCAAAAGTGGGTCACATGAGGATAAAAACGGTGAAATATTTTTGTAAAGGTATCTAGCGTCCATATAATAAACTTGTCTAGCGCTTTCCTTCTTTTTCTCTCTTTTGTGAGCACGTTGTATGTTAAAATTTGATTACTTATACAATATTGTATCAATATTAATCACATTGTGATTGTTGTCACATCCTTTGAAACATTTATTGACAAATATGTCATTACATTTTTGAACACTATAAAAGTATATTGTACACTATAAAAATATAATCCACCTAGATATTGTTACAGTGCATTGGCATCGTCCATTGGACCGTCTGACACGCGATCGAATCCACGCGAATCTCACGAATAAATGAATCGACACAAAATATGAAATGCCAGTTATTTTTTTGTTATTTAGACAAAATAATACTTCATTATACTTTCCTCAATCTATTTTCATTAATAATTATTTTTCACCGAACTTTTTTAAATTTATACTAAAATCTTACTGAAATATTAATGAAATTATAATGAAATTCTAATTGGATCAATTGTGAATGCTTTTCAAAATATTTCAGCAAAAGTTTATATTTTCTATAAATTATATCCATTAGAGCTTATATTTCAATTAAGATCTTGCGGAAATCTCATACGAGTTTTCAGTTACCATCTCACATGAGATTTCAATTGAGTTCTCAATTGAGATCTCCACTAAATTTTTTCAGTAGGTCATATAGACGCGATCGACATCGCGGATAAAGCCCAATTGTCCATAGATATAATTAGACACTATAAATAACTCTAATTTAATCTAAACTAACCCTAACCTAACTCTAATTAACCAAACAATTTAATTGGTGATGTCCGACTGAGTCTATGAGCAATCAATACACTCCCAACTTCACGGGGCTTGCCTCGGAGTGCTTATTCCTATTCGCGGAGTGTTGTTTGAATAATGTGTTCTGATTGATACATGCAGCTCAGCTATTGCTGTAAGCAGCGCGCCAAATTTAGAGCGCTTGTGAGCGGCTCTTTTATCGCAACACTCGTTGTCACTTGAAAAGTTTGCCTATATTTTCTATTATATGTTTGATTTTTCGAATATATATGAATCAGTTGATAGAATCGGGGTTGGTAACGCCGTCTGTATCTAAAAAATTAATATAGCTACTGACCAGCTTGAAAATTATTATAACTAGAAAGTAAATTTGACCAAAACCTAGCTACATTCCGTTTAGCGTTTATGGTGTCATCTATATTGAGAAAAGTAAGATAGCTACTAGCCAGCCTGGAGGTTATGAGAACTAGACAGCAAAACTGACCGGAATCTAGCTAGATTTCGCCTAGCCCCTGTCCTAATAAATTATATAAGAAAACTGGACAGCGGCTAGGACCAAACCAGTTTTTATTTGACGAATTTCCACACAGGACTGAGTAAGAATATGTAGTCAGTCACGAGCTAGTGACTGACTAAAAAACTTATTTAGTTATTCCTATCTAGCTTAAAATCTGCTCTACTAAATACATTTTTGCTTGGATATATGTAGTTGGAAGTACTCTCTATCAGATAATATCATATTTTTATTGAAATTGTTTCTATGTTTAAAGCAAAAAATGTTTTTTTTAAACGCTCAAAAATGGAATTCAAAGAAAATGGGTGCCAAAAACGACATACCTATTAAAAATTATATAACATGTTACATATGTGATAATATTTGATAATAAATAGTTTATTAATGCGTTTAATGATTGAATAATATTTATTTATTTAAAATATAATGTTACAAAAGGGAAATATAATCAAATAAAAACATATCTTTGGCATTTCCATCTTTTTCATTTCTCACATATTATATATATGTCATATTTTTAAACAAAATTAAACTTTAAAATAAACACATATTACAGTACAATAGGAGGTTAGAATCAGTTATTATGTTAGTCACAGAGTATCGTACCTAATTGCATCCTAATCAGGAAAAAAAATTTTTAAATTGCTTACAAAATTTTTTTAAATCATTTGGAAAACATTTTTAAAAGCATTTTTAAAAACATTAAAAATAATGGAATAAGTACCCTTTTTTAAATTAAAAAAACGTTAATTTTAATGTTAAAAATAATTGTTTTTTTAACAATATAAAAACATTTAAAAATCATTTTCTTCAAATGTTAAAAAAATGTTTTTATAACGTAAAAAAAACATTATTTTAAACATTACAATAACATTTTTGTAATGAAAAAAAGGACATTCCATTATTTTAACGTTTTTAAAAACGTTTCAAAATCATTTTTTTCATATGTTAAAAAAATCTTTTCATAACATTAAAAAAACATTATTTTAAACATTAAAATAAACGTTGTTGAAATGCAAAAGGGGACTTATTTATTCTTATTGTTTCACAAAAAAACTAATTCCTAATTTTCTCATGTCTTATAACTGCTAGAAACCGAAGGTTGTCAAACACACTCTAAAGCCCATGTCACATTACGGTTTGGAAATTGAGAATTGCGGACTGAAGATTAGATTTCGATGAATAAATGCACTTTGGTTTTGGCCTGCTTGGCTCCAATTGTCAAGTTCCAATCTTCAATTCGCAAATCCTCTATATCCAATCCGTAGGATGGACACGGACTTAAAATTTTTACAAATTCTCCCTCGATAATTTCGAATCCGTATGCCAGTTCACCCATCCATCCTGACTGCGTTAC